TAATCACTCAATTCTTCCTCTCTATTTGGTTATAAATTTTCATCTTCTCTTCATAGTACACCTCTATATTAATCACTCAATTCTTCCTCTCTATTCATATATAATTTTGTGGTACACTTCTATGATAATCTCTTTATTAATCTCTCAATTCTTCTTCTCTATTCATATATAATTTTGGGGTACACCTCTATGATAATCTCTCTATTAATCTCTCAATTATTTCTCTCTATTCATGTATAATTTTGTGGTATACCTTTATGATAATCTCTCTATTAATCTCTTAATTTTAAATCTCTATTCAGTTATAAATTTGTGGATGCGATTTGGATTTTTGTTTATTTGAGATGTCATTCAATAAAACAAATCATAGTATGAGTTTTTGCTTATGTAAGTATAGTATTTCTTTTTTAGTCGAAGACATTCACATCATAGTTCGAATTATGTAGGCATATGGATTTTTTATGTGTGGATAAAGTGACACATGAATCATTAAATAAACAGTTTAACATTGTTAATTTTTTTCACATATTTTTTTTATGATTTTGGACCAATTACAAAGTTTGATATGATAAAAGATCGATATATAAAAATTATTATATATATATATATATATATATATACATTAAAAAAAACCAATAATTATAATGTGGATTCATATATCAAAGGTAATATTGATTTTTATTAGTTTAATATATAAATGTGATTATCGACTCATTTAACTAACTTCAATAATTTAAAAATATATATTATCATCGCGCGACGCGCGATATCAAAAACTAGTTATAGTATTATATTCAAAATCATCCTAAAAATATAATGACTTCAAAAAAGTAATTACTTTTACAATAAATAGTATTTCATATCTCTCAGACATTGACCAGATAATATTTCTAAACAATGTTATATATCTTTTTTCCATAACATTTTAATCTATAAATTAATACACACACACACACACACATATATATATATATATATATTATCCTTTACATATTATCACACCCTACTTCATTTCCAACACAAATGCATCAAAAACATGGATTTATGAACCAATTGTTAACAAGACTACTTGTGAACGTCTATCGTTGAATGATAAACTTTTCAGAAAACCTCATTTTCACTTATTTTAGAATAAGTGAAAATGTAATATAAATTATGTTACGTCTTATTTATACATCAAT